TTTTTTTTTCAACGTTTTATTTATTTTTGGGACAGAGAGAGACAGAGCATGAAGGGGGAGGGGCAGAGAGAGAGGGAGACACAGAATCGGAAACAGGCTCCAGGCTCTGAGCCATCAGCCCAGAGCCCGACGCGGGGCTCGAACTCACGGACCGCGAGATCGTGACCTGGCTGAAGTCGGACGCTTAACCGACTGCGCCACCCAGGCGCCCCTATAGTTCTTAAGTACTGAGCAAGCAAATGTAAATAACTACTTCCTTAGAAGAAATCTATAAGTTACAAAAATAGAATAAAATATAAAAATAACTCCTAGCCTTCTCCAAAGAATGACACAAGAATAGAAGGTATCAAGCCAGAGACTTTATTTCCTTTCTGTTACAGCATGTAACAGTACTCCAAAACAGAGGTTCTTATTTCTAGGTACCAGCTGAACTGTCTCTATAACAGAGGTTCTCAAACTTTTTGGTCTAAGGACTCCTTTACACTCTTAGAAATTATTGAGGATCCTAAGTAATTATGTTTATGGGGGTTATGTCTATCAATATGTACTGTATGTTTTTTAAGTAAAGCAAAATGATTAAAAGTATTAAAATCATAGTTAACATAAGTAATATTTCAAATGAAAAATAACTATATGTATTTTTAAATTAGTGAGCAGAGTGACACTATTACATTTTTACAAATTTTTTGTGTCTTTATCTTAATAGAAGACAGCTGCATTCTCTTACCTGCTTCTGCATTCAATCGTAATATTATAATACACTGCTTTTGTTCAAATATGTGGAGAAAATGCAGTCTCAAACAGATATGTAGCTTTATTTTCAGATAATTGTGGATATTCCTTTTAAAAAAATATTTTTTAATGGTTATATTTATTTTTGAGAGAGAGACAGACAGACAGAGTATAGCAGCGGAGGTACAGAGAGAGAGGGAGACACAGAATCCAAAGCAGGCTCCAGGCTCTGAGCTGTCAGCACAGAGCCCGACACGGGGCTCGAACTCGTCAACTGCGAGATCATGACCTGAGCCAAAGTCGGACACTCAACCGACTGAACCATCCAGGCGCCCTGTGGATAGTCTTCTTTGATACCACCCCAAAACTCAACAAGTAGTAGTTTAAGAGTTAGTTGTAATGACATGGATGGAACTGGAGAGTGAAATGCTAAGTGAAATAAGTCATACAGAGAAAGACGATACCATACATTTTCACTCTTATGTGGATCCTGAGAAACCTAACAGAAGACCATGGGGGAGGGGAAGAGGAAAAAAAAAGTTACATAGAGGGAAGGAGGCAAACCATGAGAGACTCTTAAAAACTGAGAATAAACTGAGGGTTGATGGGGGGGTGGGAGGGAGGGAAAAGAGGGTGATGGGCATTGAGGAGGGCACCTGTTGGGATGAGCACTGGGTGTTGTATGGAAACCAATTTGACAATAAATTTCATATTAA